CCTTCCGAGCAAATCAACGCATGTGGAGTAAATGACACTATGCTTGCATCCTTTAGCTATTCCTTCAAAGCTGAGAAGTAGAACTCTCGAAATGGTCTGCTTTCAGACCAAGAGAAGCACCACGCTTCAATCTGAATCCATGTTGTGAGGTCTAGGAATGGGGTGTCAGGTACTGAGAGAGGTATGGGAACACAATGGAGGGGCCCAACAAATGGGCCACAGGGACTGCTCAGTGGCCACGTCTCAGAGGGGCCTGTCAGGCAGAGAGGAGGCAGGTCCTGGGTCGTCAGAAGGAGTCTGAGAAAGTGGGAGTGCTGGAGAAGAATGGCCGACTGAGGTGGAGCAGCAGTGGAGGGCAGGAAAGTGGGCCAAGTAAGCTGCCAAGGCTCTGGCTCTTTTCTCTTTAAGAAGTGGTGTATTGGGGGCTGCAGGTGGTGTGGTGGTTAGGGCACTGGACTTCCACATGGCTGACTGGGGGTCGAGTCCTGGACGTGGTGGCTTGAAAATCACTCTGGGCGCACATGCGTGTGTGTCCAAAGTCTCAGGAGGAAAATAGCGAAGAAGGGATTGCGGCATGGCCGTCCCTCTGCGAGTGACTTCTCACTTTCCCTCTCACTGTCCTTCTCTGACTGTCTCTGGTGAATGCACTCACCCTATGGCAAAAATCTTTAAAAAAAGAAAGAAATGAAGTATTATGTTGTTCAATAAATGTGACACATCAATGTGCATTTTTTTTAACTCTTTAAAAATTTTTAGACATGGTCTCACTGTCTGGTCCTACTGCCTTGGCCTCCCGGCAGGGACAGAGGTGTGCACCTGTTAGGCCGAGTTAGCATAATCAACGCCATGTTAGGAATGCTGGGGAAGTTAGCTTAATCACTACCCTGTTGAGTCTTCAGGGACGGAGCCCACTTTGTTAGGGCCTCAAGGACGGGAACCAGGAGTCTGGGAACTCTCAGATAAGTGGAAAACGGGAGGGCCCAGCACCTCCGAGGCAAGGTCATCCAAATCCTTAGCTGAGAGCCCTTATCTAGACCTAAGCAGGTGGTGAGAGCTGGACCCTCGCGTCTCATACCCCCCCTTCCTTTGTGTGTTACAGTCTAGAGAACATCCTGAACTATAAAAGATCCCTTTACCTTAGGCTCGGGGTCCTTGTGAAGGCCCGCTGCAATGGGCTGAAACTTGGACCCCAGCTAGCTGGAAAAATAAAAGCCTCTTTTGCAGTTGCATTGTCGTTGTCTTTTCTGTGTCTCCATCAGTTAGACCGATCTCTGGACCCTTACACACCGTGCAGGTCTTTCTAGACAGCTGTCACTGCTCAGACCAGCCTTGCTCTCAGCCCTCCTCCCTCGGCTCATGGGATGACAAGCCATGGCCGCTTTGTTAAGGTGTCATTTTCACCCAGTGTAACTGTTCATGGTCACATGCAGATAGTATTCCCAGTGATTTTATTCAAGTTTGAGAGGAGAAACCACACAGCAGACACGGTGCAGTAGGACAGAGAAAGAGGAAACAGCTGAGCAGCAGGGAAGTCGGTCCCGGGAGTCAGTGAACTGTGGTCACAAACCCTCCTCAGTGCACGTGTTTCCAGGGTAAGATGTGGCGCCCTTCAGAAATGTCTCATTGGCTGCTTCACTGAGTAGGCCCCTGTGGACCTGGGGGACTGCAAGACCAGTGCAATCTTGTTGAGCACCTGGCGCTTCTTCCAGGGAGCGGTGACCTAGGTGGTGAGCAGTGATCGGATTCTGGGTGTATTTTCAGATGGAGCCAGAAGCTCTTGATTAAAACAAAAACATAGATATTGGATATGACACAAGAGCCGAAATGAAGGTTCCTGCCTGAGCAGATGGGAGGATGGATGGCCACTGGCAGGTTGGTGGCACCGGGAGTCTGGCTGCTAGGCCAGCAGTGCCCTGGGACGGCAGAGCAGGTGGAGCAGAGCTGCCTGCACAGAGCGGCGTGCTGGGACTGGGCAGCGTCCTGGAGGCTCGCGTTAGAGCTGGACACACGAGGTCAGGGCTGAGCCGAGGATCGAGTTTAAAGTCAACAGAGCCTGAAACCCTGGAGGACAATAGGGCAGAGCCCCCAGAGCCCAGCCTTGAGGTGAGGGAGGTTAAGGAAAGTGAAATGCCAGGGCTTAGCTGAACTCAGAGAGCAGGCATCCTGTCATCCTGGTGTCACACAACAGGAGTTGATCCACGGAGAGGGAGCAAGCATGAGAAGGATCCGGATAATTAGTCACGCAGATAGTGTGGGAGATGATCAGAGGCCCACGGGGCATCTGGACCTGGTCTCCTCCTGGTTGTCTTCTGCAAAGGGAGAGAAGCCCGGCCTTCCGTGATCGCAGAATGGTGGCCCTTACTGGCTGCAGGACTAGGGGAGCCCTTGGCACGTGGGTCACAAAGGGACAGCTTTGCAGGCATCCCCACAACCAGCCTGGGGGTGGGGACACATGGGGACAGAGGGCGGGGTGCCTGGGAGTCAGCATGTGGCCTGGCCTTTCTGCTCAAGGAGTCCAGTTCCTGCAGAAGGAGGATTGAGAGGGAGGGAGGGAGTAGAGAGAGCAGGGCTGAGCAGAGTGCTTAGAGGAGGGAATGGAGGATGGGCGACTACTCAGAGCGGACAGTGCCCTTTACTGGCTGCGACTTGTGAATGGCCCTGTTTCTGGTTCCCACCTGGACTGCACAGAGGTTCAGGGGCCACCAGGATTTACCCAGAGTGCGCTGATGGTGCACGGCTGTGGGGCTGAGCTCCAGCCGGTCTCATTGGTGAGAAAGGCGCTGAGGGAGGGAGGTGTGTGACACCGGCCAGCGCCAGCCTCTCGTGGACGCAGGGACACGCAGACACAGGAGGACGCACACGCAGCAAACACTGACAAGTGCTATTTGAGAGAAGAGTGAACTTTCAAGGTCACATGGAAGGCATGTTATGTCAGCATCCTCTCTCAGGCAAAGCCTGTGTATGAGAAAAGAAAAACATTCACTTCTATATGTGCATTTTTTTAAAGAATTATTTTATTTAACTTATTTATTTATTTTAATTTGACCAGAGAGGGACAGAATGAGAGAGAAAGGAGAAAAGCAAGCCGCCAGGTCCAGGGCTAACTGCAGTCATCCATGTGGGAGTCCAATGCCCTAACCACCACACCACCTGCCGGACTCCTGTGCATGAATTTTTTTTTTTTTTGGAGAGGTTTTTCGCTATAGGGTGCGTGCGCTTGCCAGACAGACAGAGAGAGACATAGAGACAGAAAGCGAGAAATCACCCCCCAGGGGGGATGGTCATGCCGCAATCCCTTCTCCTCCATTCTCCTCTCGGGATCTTGGGCACACACGCACATGCGCCCGGCGTGAGTTTAAGCCACCGGGTCCGGGACGCGAACTGCGGTCAACTACGTGGGAGTCCAACGACATAGCCATTACGCTAACTGCTGGTTCCCTGTGCATGGATTTTTTAAGAAAAGATGTTATTGTTAGTTTTTGGGTCTTTTCCTCCAGATTTGTTGAGGTATAAAAGACAAAACTGTACATACTTAATATGTACAACTTGGTGTTTTGATTATAAAATATATGCATATCTATTATGAAGAAATCATCATGATCAATCTAATGATCATGTCCTTACACAAACAGTGTGTGTGTGAGCGTGTGTAAGAACATACGGACTCATTAACCGGGTCACTGAGTTCCAGCTGCTTGGGTTCCAGCGGCTCCGAGAGTGGCAGGCCTCGCCGTTCGTCCTCTTGTCCGTCTACCTGCTCACTGTCACAGGGAACCTGGCCGTCATCGCTGTGGTGCGGCAGGACCGGCGGCTGCACTCGCCATGTACTCGCTGCTCCAGCACCTCTCCTTCCTGGAGGTCGGGTACACGTCCACCATCGTGCCCCTGCTGCTGGCCGGCCTGCTCTCCGGGGGCCAGGCCATCTCCTTCTCTGCCTGCATCACGCAGCTCTACTTCTTCGTCTTCCTCGGGGCCACCGAGTGCTTCCTCCTGGCCATGATGGCCTACGACCGCTTCCTGGCCATCTGCCGCCCACTCCACTACTCCGTCCTCATGAGTCCTGAGACCTGCACCTGGCTGGTCATCCTGTGGCTCCCGTCTGGCTGTTGTCACCATCTACTATGGGACCATGATCTCCATGTATGTGCGTCCCAATGCCCACCTGTCACCTGAGATCAACAAGATCATTTCTGTCTTCTACACAGTGGTCACCCCACTGCT